TGTGTTTTGAAGCCGGTGAAGAAGTTGTAGATCTCACATGTGAATCTTCTGATCCTGTAGTCGTTGATCTAACTCACAATGATTCTGTGGTGGTAAGTAGTGAGTAGCATGCTTTTCCAAACCTTGTCGTCCATTTAGGTTTGTACTGTGATCCCAGATAGAATCTGGCTTTAAAGATAACTTTTAAGTTCAAAGTTGGCTTGTCAGCGCGTGAAAACCATGTGTTACAGGTAAAAAATGAAGCTGCTCTGGATGTGCACTTGGAAATTGTGGAAGAGTAATGTAAAGTAGCTTGATCCTCCTGAACCTGGGGAGAATATGTACTAGTCACTGCTGGTGTAACGTAACGAGGCGCAGTTTAAAGTAGAAGCTCTTCCAGATGTGTCAAAGCTATAGGCCAGTGATGTAAACAAAAAGTGAAGGAGATAAGTCTCCTGACTTCAGAAACTGTTGAGCTGTAACATTGGTTTAAGGTTCTCCTGTCAGAGATGCCAAGCACAGCTGCAGCTGACCATGGTACAAACCAGTTCAGTTGATTTACTCCAAAAACTCTATTAAAAAAGAAATCCACTTTTTTTAGTGCTGCTTCCTTAAGCTAGAAGAGTGTTGGATTCAGTGCACAGTGTAGTTTATAACCTCAGTTCTGGGATGCCACTGATGGCGTGTGGAACCGGAAAGGAGCAGCTGGAATAGCATGGGGATATCTCTTTCTGGGATTGTTCCTGAGCCTTTGCAAAGTAAAGGCCTGGAACTTTGACACATCCAGCATTGCCCCAGCTCTGGATCCACCAAAGACAGTATGAGGGTTGGGTTTGGGTTTTTTTCTTCAGCAGCTATTAGTCTAATATGAAGTCTTTATGGATCTCACCTGAATTTGCCTGTTTGGGGGAGAAAGAGCAAAAAAATCTTCTCCAGCCTAAATGAAATCTGGGTATTGGAACTGGGAGGAGGGTGTTCAGGCAGGTGTTTTACAACCTGCCTTTATCTGTATCCCTTTGCAGCTGCCTGAGCAGTATCAGCAGCAATTACTTGTTTTCAGAGCAGCAGCTAATTAACTGCTACTTTTAACGTTCTTGACCAAAATGAGTGTGATATCGTACTGTTCCTAGCTTGTTTTGTGGTAATTTTTTAGCTTATCTGGTGTTTGTGTGTAATATTGGGCATGCACACCAAAGTCTTATTGTATTTTTCTTTTCTCTCCCTTCCCATCTCTATTGATGCAAGATTGTTGAAGGTGAGTTGACGTTTTACAGTTATGGATAATGGTTATGTCCTAAACTTTCTCCTCTTCCAATGAACTTGAGCAGCATGGATTGAAACTGCCTTTACCCAGAGACAAAGGACAGTGCTAAAGTATCTGGCCAGTGTCTTAGAGAATGGATCCTATCTGTGTTTGATTTTCACTATCAGAATTTGTAGAAATTATCTGAGATAAAATACGTCAGAGCTGCTCAAAATATATTTTGGTTTTTTCCAAATATGGGAATTCTGAAAGCCAAAAGCTGATAATTGCAGGTAGGACTGGAATATCTGCTTTGAACAAGAAATTGTTGAAAGACTTTTTTAAGCCTGTATTGCAGTGAAGGAACTGAAGAAAGTTATTTGTGGTCATAGTATTCACTTTCTTTGTCCAATCTAGCACCTCAAATTTTAGTACTGACATGTCCTAAGAGATGTGGATTTCTTTCTATTTTAGGTGTTATTGTAGTTATATGTATCAAAAAGTTAATCCTTTCAGACCCTGTTCTGATTGTAATCTCTGAGGAACAGTAGTATGTTGTTAGCTGCTTACTGAGAATGTAATCCATTCTGTGCTTGGAATGAAACCAGAGCAAGTGAAGAATACTTGCCACAAAAGCTGTAGCTGGTTGCACACAGGTAGGGACTTAAATTTTTTGATTCTTACCTAACTGTAATTGATTAGTGCTTGATTATTGTTATATGTATACTGGAGTTGCAGAGATAATTATTGTGTGTGGTTTCTAATTGTTAAAAAGCCAACAGCAGTTCTTTATCCTTTGGATGTTATAAACCAGGAGTTAAATTTTTTTATCTCCTTTTATCTTGGGCAATATAACTCAATTGTCAAGTGACCTTGACTCAGGAGGAAGATGATGAAAATTTCTAAAAAGCATACTGATTAAAATATTTTTATAATTTCCCGGTACTGTTCCTAAGGACTCATTTTACAGAAACTGCCTGTGAGTGGGGAGGTTTGGTTGAACACAGATAAAGTGGAACAGTTCAATATCATACCTGGACAGAGCGCTGGGAACCCACAGGAGCTCCATAACTTACATCTGTAGATTTCAGCATCTCTTTGAGAAGTGATGGAGCTCGCCCAACAACACACTTTGTGGTTTACCAGGCCTTTTTGTTGTGTATGTTCTACCTCACCAAGCTGTCTGGAAACCTCAGGCCTCTCTGACATCAGAGAGCAGTTGTCCCAGTTCCTCCACATAGCATTCTCTGTTGGTAGGGATCGTAAAAGAGCACTTCCCTTTATAGGGGAGATTTTGTCACGGATGGTGTAACTATATGAAACTGGGGACAGAGATAATCTCTTGAGATCACGTTTTAGCTGTCTGTAGGGTGAATAGAGCAAATGTTATGTGTCAGTATGTAGCAGAATATTCCCAGGGTCTGGAAATGTTCAGCCTTAACATTTAGGAATCCAGGTTGTTGCTTTTAACCCAGCTGAATAGGGTCCATTTAAAGTATGAACTGTTAGAGTCTATTTATAATCCTGGATTTGGAGGGTAGTTCTAGGGGTATGTAGCTAACGTAACAAAACTGAATTACAGAGAATCAGCGACAAAGGAGAAATCTTCGGCTGAGAGGCCAGCGACAGTCGGACAGCTGTGTACTGAGTAGTGATGATGAAGATGAGGCAAGAGATAGTGATGTGTACGTGACGGATAAAGTGTCTCCAGAATTGGCACCACTGGAAGATGAAACTGCAAGTTCAAAGTAAGTATGCCTTAGGACCTACCACATGTTGGCTTTTTCTTTTCTTACACATACAGGACCAAGTTATATTGCTACATCCTGGCTTGTCTTTGAAGTCTTAACTTACTCTAGTTAGTTCCCACTTCCAGTGCGGACAGGGTGACTTTTTGCACGATGACTAAATGGTACCTTTTGCAGTGTGGGATGAAAAGCCAGCCCGAGACATGTACGACTGTGCGTATAACGCTGAAGGTGAATGTGGGGCAATGACAAGGAAGGAGGATTAGTCACAGACCATAGTTCATAATGCACTGTGTTTACTTCTCATGCAAAGCTCTAGTAGTGATGTTACATACGGAAGTATTCTCAGTGGTGTAGATGAGACCTGGTATCACAAGACCAGCAGGCAGCAGCCTGGCAAATTTCAGTTAAAACATATTACTCAGTCGCTGCTTCTTTACACACTCTGCCAAAGGGCTGCCTTTTTCCAGCTGTTCTTCCAAGGCATACTTAGGAGGCTGTGAAGGTAATGCTGTTACGGCCAGTTTCTGTTCCTGGAGTTCACACATTTGCATGTGAGATGGCGATCTCGCTGTGTGGGTCAGGTACCTGCGCAGCAGAGACCCTATTCTGTGGAGAAACAGTGAACTCCTGCTGTAGGACCACTCCGTTGTATGAAGAAAAACACAGTGTTTTAGACTAAGTGAAATCAGGAGTCCATGTGACTAAGGAGATGAACCACGAGAATTGTGGTATACACGTTCTTTTTAAATGGTTGGGGGCGGGGGAAAACCACTGGTTTTAAAAAAGCTCGTGTGCCTTGAGTCTTCTAGATTACGGGAAGGCAGTGTAGGAGAGAACTGGGGTGTGGAAATTTTGAGTGTCAGGACTTAAGTATGACACCTACAGGGCTTATAGTATTCTAAACCATAGGACATTTTGTGCATGGATTTGTGGATGTATTTTAATACTGCTTAAGTATGTAGGTGAAAAAATCCCACTAGTAGGTTAATATAAATAACTAGTATTTTGGTTCTTCAGTCTCAAGCTTCTGTGTTAAAGAATGCGATTTGCTCTTCTGTTTCGAGTAAGGCTAAACCATTTCAGTGCTGCAAACTGTAACGTCGGCCAAGAGGTGGTGATACTGGACACTGCCACGGCGCCACCCACAGTTACTCTAGTGTTAGACTACGCTTGCATATAGAAAGGTTATCGTGAGTTGTAGTTAATTACTGGGTTGGTATTATAGCTGCTGCATCAGGAATTTGAGTAGTAAAAATGGGAGAATTAATGGAGTTAAATTATGTTTGTGAAACTAGGGGTAGCTGTTAGTAGTGCTCACTTCTTGTTCTTCAGGTTACGGGATGAAGGGTATCTCACGCTTTCTATTCCAGTTCAGCCAATTTCAAAGTGTTACTTAGCAAGGGCAGTGACATCATGAAGCCAAGTCTCTACCATAAAGACTTCTGAAAGCAGCTTACTGTGATTGCTTAAAACAGAGATTAGTCTGTAAATAAAAGTGGCAGGAAGCTCTTTTTGATAGAGGCTATTACTCAGCACTGTCGTGGCTTAACCCCAGCCAGCA